GGCCGGGGTGGGCGGCGGGTTGCTGGTGCGTGGGTTTGCCCCCAAGACGCTGGGGATATATGCGGTTCCTCGAGTTTTTTTGGCATTTCACAGCCGGGAGAGACCACTGTTGTCATCTGGCCCGTCCCGCGTAACACTGGCCGTTTGGTCGTTTCCTCCTGTGGTAACTGAGGGTCGTTTCCCTTCCACATGGACACTGCTGGGGACGCAACCTCCGGAAACATCTTTTCCTTGTCAGTATTCCGAGGTGGGTCAGAAGGAATTAAAATTCGTCCTGAAGTGTACACCGGTGTCGTTGAGTCGTTAAGTGCCTTCAGCTGACCCCCATTCCCCGCCACCATGCCCTGCGCCCTGCCCCTCCTGTCTGCCAGGCCGCAGGGAGCCTGTCTGGCTTGAAGTTAGGCCAGGGATGGGGAAAATAAGTTTATTCTGTTTTCCCACCTTCTTGAAACCATGCCCTAGGGGGGTGCAGCGCCGCTGTTTTCAGTTGTGTTGAATTTTTAAAACCCGTGTTTTCCTAGATGTGGCAAATGAACCCTCAAGAGAAATGCCTCAAGAAGAAAAACTTGTGGCAATCTTTATAGACAAATGATAGAGGTATTTCTCTCTTTTTTTTTACCCCCGTGAGATATTTGAGACCAGATGGAAGCAGATCCCGATCAGATGTGACACGAGAAACAGAAGTGTTGATTCAGCAAGGTCCTCGCTCCGCACCTACCTCCTAGGACATAAGTAGAAACTATTTCAATCACATTAACTTCAAAGCCGTTATTTTAATCCTTAAATATTTGGCTATATCAGGGCCTGACTTCCTTTGGAGCAGTGGCCTTAAACCCTCAAATGTATCTGACTTAAATCACATACATGTTTTGTAGAACTGACTTTATATTAGGTTTTAGCCTTGGAAATGGAAATGTTGTCACCTGGATTTATTTTACAGTCAATAGACTTTACCACTTGCAAATTGTCCCACTGATACTGAAATGCTTTCAGTGATAATACTGGATATATATGTATGTGTGGGATTAAGGCTTTAGCAAATGAATATATTTTTTAGCTTGTGAGATAAGATAGTTGTATAGTTGTGAGCTTTTTCACTCTATACATACTGGTTTTGGTTTGGGAATAGGATTCCTAGTTGCTATGGTAATATAAATAAATAATAATCTGTGTACTTGTAGTTAGACTATACAGAGAAATGCAAATGTTTGCTGGCTAATTTGTGTCTGATATTTTGCCTTCACTTAATGAATGAACTAGTTGTACAAGTTTTTTCTCCTTTTACTATGACCTGGGTCGTCACAGTTTGGTCCCCTTTGGGCAGAGGTTGCTGGAGCTGGGTGCTGCTGATAGGGCTGACTTTATCAAGGCAGATAGTGCAGAGTCCACAGTCCTGACTACACAGACACTGCAATAAAGTTTCTCTGATCACAGCACTTGCATCCCTTACTTTGCTTTCTTGCTTGCAGTGGCTGCTTTCCCTTCTCTGCCATCTTAGCCTTTCAGCACAGAAGCAGATTAATTAAAATACAAAGCCTCTACGTGATATGAAAATGGAAAGACAGGAATGAAAAATTGTAGCTCTTCCATGAACTGTGGAAACTGCTCTGTTCAGCTGACCTTTATATAGTCTCCCTCTGTCCTGTGCCGATCTGGCATGATCTGACTGCGCAAGCACAGTGTAACTGGTGTGAATGGTCTCGTTGTGTTCAGGTGAAGTGATTCTGTGTTAGGAAAGTTAACCAGGTGCCCAAGTCTCCCCTGAATCGCCTGTATTGTAGACAAAAGCGTGACTTAGAGATACACAAACTAGATTTAAATGAGTAGAAGCAATAAACCTGTGTGTCCAATTTAAACAACCAGCTTTCTCCTTTTGCTTCTTTTTTAAAGCTACTACTGTAAAAATAATTGCATTTGATGTGAAAAATGCAATGAAACTATATTCTGTCTTGGGATTTGTAGGTGCTGCTTCCGTTTGAGTAACAACAGTAACAGTTATCAAATGAATTAAAACACCGGGGTTGCTTATTTTGAACCTAAGGCATTCTAAGAACTAGTGTGCGCTTTAGATATTACGCTGTATTTGTCTCAGACTCCCTGCTGATTCCTGTTCATTTAGAATCATTTTTATATTTTAAAAAACCACACAATCCTGTTGCTATGGAATAGTGGTATGTTTCCTATAAGAGGTGATAATGAAAATGATCACAAGGCCTAAAGCAAACAAAAACATAGCTATTCTTCCTACCTTTAATCGCTTCCATTATTGTCATTTTAGCTGAGATTTTAACAACTTTAAAAGAAAAACCCTGGGTGTAGAAAAGGTACTTATTAACTTCATGACATTTTTAGAACTCTTTGATGCAGCAGCTCTTACAGTGAAGTTGTTGTTGTGTCATCTCAGAACATCTGTACATGGTTGGTGTTTTAAGCTAAATAAGGCCATTCAGGAAGGATCGTTTACTGGCGTTTTTTTCCTTTTATTTACGTCAGAGGTGAAAAGCAGGTTAATTTGTCATTTATGCTCTGTGGCTGTGTTAACAGAAGTCAGTCACTCCTGAGTACCATCAGACAGACCTTTTTGCTGTCATAGCTGCAGTCACAACTTTTGAGTGACTTACACATCTGGAGAGCATTTCCTCTGCTGCAGGTATCTTCTAAAAACCTCAGATCCAGCTGATTTTACTGGGAATTGTTCTTTGAGTCAGCATTTTGGCTGCCACTGGAGGAGACAACACTCCAGATAATGACTGTTACTTTTGGGTTTGACAGACCACTGTGAAAGCCAGGCACCTACGTATTTATGTATAAGCACTATCGTTTCTGTGTTTACAGCCTGACAGTGTGAAACTGAGAACAAAATTTTGTCTGTTAATGTAAAGTCAAGTCCTTGGCTGGCAGAAAATGAGAACAGAACTGGAGCAAACAGGATGGTGTTTAGGTACCTAGTACAAAATTTTGGCGACGGTAGAGCTGTTGTTGAGGCCCTAATGTTTTAAACATGGCTTGCAAAGAGGATTTGGTACAAAATTGGGCCTGTGCCCTTGTTTGTTGCTATGTGATTTATAGAGAGCTCTCGAGATACTCTCTTTAAAAAGCTTTTTATTCAGTTTTGCATTGGAGATTCAGAGGTGACCTTCTTGGGAAAACTCAAGTTTCAAAAGAACTGCTCAAGTTCTGACACGATGAGAGGAGTCTTTTGAAACTTTGTTTGAAACTAGATTGTTTAAACCTCTTTAAAGTGTATTTTAAGTTTGTACATCTCACGTATCCTTGGGTGAAAGGGCACCTGTGTTAATGAATCTAAACTTCCTGAAGAAAGAGGCAAGAATTCCACAAGACACCTCTGCAATCCACAGGAAGTCCAGGGAAGATGGGACTTGACATTCCCCATACGGCTAAGGTTAAAAAAAAAAAAAAAGCAGAAATAATGTTTAATAGAAAGAAAATTGTTTTTTTTTTTAAACAGTCTCTTCTGATTTCATTAAAAAACATTCACACATAGGAAGGACACACTCAGAAATGTGTTCAGAGAGTATTCAATGCTCTGGATGATAAACCTCTTTCTGCTTCTGGCAGAGTATTTGGTTCCAGTGACAGCAGTAATGAGTCTACTGTGGCTTGGCATGGGGGTAACTTTGGGGAAAGGGTCTCTGATCAGTTTTGGTTTCCAGTCTGTTGAAACAGACTGTTTATTTCATTAAACGTGCCGTTCTCTTGTGCCCCAACAGCAGCTGCTCGGTCTTACTCTTGATGCATGAGCACTATAATATGATCCCTGCAAAAATGTCATAAATAATTCCTTGGGTGGGAATCCAGGGGGAAGGTGACACCACAGTTCAGTGGATCTGAAGCTGGCAGGAGAAGAAAATGCGTTGAGTAAACTGCAGCAGCAGCGCCCTTGTTGCATTTTCCTCCAAGAGGAGCCATGGGTGCTTCTGACTGTTGGCAGCTCTCAGAGGTTAATGAGGTGATTCTTTGTCTACTTTAACTGGTTATGAAAGGACAGGTGGTTTTGTTTCCAGTGGGATTTTCTGTGGGAAAGCTGAGATACTTTAGCTAGTGTACCCTTTCTGCTATTTGGCAACAAGACAGTCAAACCCAGAAGGCAGCTCAAAGAGATCATGTACTCCTTTAACTTGCTCAGTCCTGATAGGTGTTTGTCTAATTTTCCTCAAGGACCTCCACAGACAGAAACTGTGTTGTTAGCCCAGCAGTCTGCCCAGCAACTTCTCTTTGTATTTCAGGCTTCTAGTTCCTTGGTTGGCTCTTACAAACCTCACGTTGTCCCTGCACTCAAGCAAGCTCCTTCTTCCTTTCGTGGTCTCTTTCAGCTATTGTCTCTGCCATTCCTGGGGATGTCCTTAAGACAAAGGAGAGGTGGCTGGGGCTTGGCGTGAATTGTAGTGAACAGACCTTTGCTTCAAAACAAGCCGTGATGAGAGATCATGGGATCTTCTCATCTGCCCTGCTGGGTAGGACACCACCTTCAGCTCCTGTGAGTGAAGTCCTGTTCTGAATGAATCCCCGTCTTCTGTTCCCAGAAATGTTAGCTTCCTGGCATTTTGTCTACAGTGGCCAGTGGCAGGTGCTTTGGGATAGAATAAAGGAAGCAGGCCATGTCCAAATTTGTATTGTTGCAGAGTAGGAACAGTGTTGGAGTAGGGTCTGTCCTGTTGAAAAGGGAGTCTTTGCACTGATTTTCTTGAGCTTTGAACTGGATCCTTGAAGACGGTCAGTTAAAAGTCTTTGTGCCAATGCCTGAACTCTGCATGTATTTTCTTCCCTAGGCAAATTCAGAATACACACACGGGGCTGGATTTGTCAGTGCCGGAATACCAGGAAATCCGCGGGAAGATGATGTCTGGCCACGTAGAGTATCACATTGTCGTTGTTACCAGACTGGCTGCCTTCAAATCAGCAAAGCACAAGCCTGAAGATGTAGTTCAATTTATGGTAAATGTTTAATCAATGCTATGTGATCACTTTCTTAATCAGCTTTGATGTAGCGGATACTTTGTCATCACAGCCTCCCTGGGTCAAGGTCCTTGGTAGGACAACACCCTCTGTACCATTTCTGCAATAGGAGTATTATACATATATTAATTGAACTTTTTATTCCAGGAGCTCAAAGCAACAATGATTGTTTGTTGTTGCTTGTAAGGCATTTTACAGTATGGGTCAACAAATAGAAACCAATTAAACTTTTTGTAAGTCCTGCTACAAAATTAGTTTCTTTGAGATACGTATCAGCACTGGGACTTGGTACATAAACATGAAATAAATTTATAATAGTTTACTTAAATGGAGAGAGAGTCATGTGGGGCAATAAGAGGAATTAACCTTGCAGTAGGTTAGCCATGACTTACTAGCCTTGATCTGTTAGCCTTGACATGGTTTTTAAAATCCTTTGTAAGAGAGTTTTACAAGGAAGTGTCTGTATAAAACATTATTGAGTTGGATTGTCTTTTCCAGGATAGCTGCAGAGTAAAGGTTTGAAAACATAGCACATGAGATTCATTTCACCTTTTTTAAGTCATCTATAGCATGTGCACGTCCACTTGAGCTGTCTCACCTGGGACTGTCTATTGAGAGGATGGAAAAAGGTGCATTTAGGGTACATTTCATTTGATCTGCTTTAGCTGTCCGCTGAACCACTCCCAAAAAGTGCATTTCTCTGTCCATTGACTATAAAGGGGATGCACCCTATTGCATGCTGTGAACATCTGCTCTTTTCAGATATTTGGGGGATGACTGTAATGTCAGGGTGATGTGACTGCATAGAAGATAGCTGATAAATGGATATTTACACAGTCTGATTTGCAGATAAAGCCACATCTGTCAATGTTGTGAAGAGGTGCGTGGTGAGGAGATCTCATACATTTATTGCACTCCTTATGCTATATATAACTTTATGGTAAAGGCAGCAATGCTGGCATAAGAGTCTGTTCTGTTCTCCCTCCTTGTCCCTGGCTGCTTGTTCTCACTCCTGCAGTGCTTCCTTCTGTGTGCCAGTGTCATGTGGCTATTCTGTAATGTCAGCTGAGGAACTGGTCCTGGCTAAAAATGGGTATTTGGGGGTTTGTTATTTAGTACTGATTTACACCTGTTTCTTGAGCCTGTGAGTTGCACAGCCCCATTAAAGTTTGTTTTAGGACAGGGGAAGGGCCAGTCTTGAGCAGATAAGAGAAGGGGATGCAGCAATGCCTGCTTATATTATGTAATATTTCCATGCAGCTCTGTGCAAGTAAGAACCTGACTAAACCTGAGGTGTTAAACTGGGCTATTGTCATCTGACATTTTGCTTCATTTAAGAAAAAGTAGATAAAATCAGCTCGTCTATAAAGAGGAGAAACAGACTTCCTACTGTGGCCCCCCTGCTTGCTGAGATTGCCCGTTCCCATGTCCGCTCTCTCTAGGAGGATTTTCAACACGTAGTTGCTCTTCTCAAGTGCAATGAACCTTTTTGATTTCTTCTCTGGTCAGACCTCCTGACATTTCATTCTTCATGAAGAAGAAAACTGGTGTAGTCTGATGGGAATAACATTTATCTCATCAGATACATTTTTTTTCAGCTGACTAAGTCTGCTATATTATATAGTTTGGTGTATGAAAGTAATTTAAAACCCTGCGCTGGGAGGTTGGAGGATGGATCTTTGCATCGATTCATTCCGATGAGTCTTTTCTGTATGTATTACTGGAAGGATCAGAGGGATTCACCTGTCCTAACTTATCTCTCTGTAAGTTGGATATTTTAATCTGAGTCTGTCCTTGCTTTTATGGTCAGTGGGGACAAGGGGAATGAGGTGACTCATCCTCTGGAAATGCCTCTCTTCTTTGACCATAAAGGGAAAGCATTCTGTATTTTAGACAGCTGGGGTGGGGGGCTTCAACTCCAGGCTAAAATGCTCAAGGCTCAATTGAGTTGCACACAACTCACTGTCTATACCACCGGCGGTGCCCTGGGATTTTCCACCTAGCCTTCAGAAGGTTGTGGGTCTCCCATAGGTCCTGTGTGATATTTGCCTGCCCCATGCAAGCCCCTTGGATATCCCAAAGCATCTCAGATGGCATCAGATGCCTGTCTTTAGGCAGAACAATCTGCATATAATATGTCTGTATTTGCTGCGGATTTCTAAGCTCCTATCCCAGTCTGTGCAGTACTGTTGAGAAGAATGTAGCTGAGCATCTACAGTGTGGGGGAATCCACTTTGCGTAACATACACGGCTGGTACCGTTTGAGAAACCCTAAGTTATCCTAGGTGTCTGCACAGGGCTGGCAGATGTGACACAGAACGTAAAGGCATTGGCACCACCCTGCGACAGAGTGAGGTGAGATACAGTACACCATTCAAGGTACCACTAACTGCCTGTGTTCAGGTGAGTTGAGTTTCAGTCACATCTTACCAAAATGCAGCGACTGTATCTGACTGTCATGAGAGGTGAGACACCTCCTGCATGTAGGCAGTTGTCTTAACCTCGAGGCAAATCCCAACCCTGTGGCTGCCGGGTTAGGTGAGTTGCACCCGTAGTGTCTGCATAGTGCCCTGTTCTGCTGGATGTTGTACCAGCACAAACAAGAACTGCAACCCTTTCCCAGAGAGTTTGCAGGTGAAGTGTAAGAGAGCCAGGCGACTGGGGAACAGCAGAGAAGAATGAGGTTACATTGGGCAGTACGTCAAACACATCAAATTTGTATAGCAAGGGGGAGTGAGATGAGACGTCTGAAGGAGGAAAAGGAAACAACTGTGTGCCTGTTCTGCCTTCCCAAGTATGTGAGCAGGATGGGAGAGGGAACTTATTTTTGCTATTGTTGAAATTATCAAATTTGAGAGGCTAGAGGAAGGAGCCAGTGTCACAGTGCTGAGATGACAGGTAGGTTATAGAAGACGGGTAGGTGTGGTAAGATTGTCATTGGCTCTGGATGTGTTAATCCAACCTCAGGAGCCAGGTCAGTGTTTTGAGACCCTTTGTCTTTCTTTTTCTTCCTCTTCCTTCCCCTCTTTCTCTCCCTGAAATATTAGAGCTAAATTGATTTTCCTTGTCTAGCTGTTCTTCCAGCTGTTTCCAGTTGAAGTGACTGCCTTCCACACTCTTATGCCCTAGGTGGCAGCAGCGATAGGCTGTGAGCAACTGCAGGCACCGCTGTGATTGAACAGCCTTTATTGCTCAGATAGCTTCTCTGTATCCCCTGGAAAAAGATGATAAGCAGGACAGAAGCATCCTCTAAGCTAGCTGTGATCTGTGGGCTGTGATTTAGACCACACCGGATCGAGATATATTAAGGGCCTATGACCAAAACCAGATGAACAGCAAAAAAAGATTTCAGATCTGACCTGTGGAGTTACTAGCCTTTACTGTAGGTCAGAGCAATCCAGAGTTCCCTGTTCCCCAGCCTTAATGGGACTATGCAAAATCAGTATCGTAGTGTTTCTAATTGAAACATTTGTGAAGCATTAACAGAAGAAGAAATTAACTTCTGTGATGACTTTCAGATCTAAATTCTTAGAAACTGGAGGGATTTTTTTAATTAAAAAAAAGCCATTTGTAAAGTAGGACAAATGGGTTGTAGAACTGCTTAACCTTGACATTATATTTGGTAATTGAAGGAAAACTCAGCTGCATTTCTTTCAAAGGTCAGAATATTCTTGCCCTATTGAAAGAGTGAAATTCATTTTATCTTTGGTATTGCAACAGAGGTACTGCTGCAAAGGTGATATTTAATTATTGCCTGTAGATCTGCCATTTTCTGCGAGAAGAAGAAAAGGTTTTATTTATCTTAATGCATTTCTTCTAGCCACACCTTACCTTTTTTAGCAATTAACTTCTCTCTTCCCAGCCTTATTAAAAATCTACCCAGCCTATAGTGTCTTCTCTTTTTATCTGTGCCCAGTTTAATTGCTTCTTTTTTGCAAGTGACTTTTGTTAATCAAGTTTGTTCTTTTTCAAAGCTGAACAAATATCTACTGGTGTTTGACAGGCATAGCACATTTTTGGGAGGAATTTGCTATAGAACTGTCTTCCTCTCATAAAATGAGGGAGTGTAAGTACATGGGTGTGTATTCATCTATGTTTTCATCATTGCCTGTTTGCATATATTGGCCTTCTTTCTGTGGGCCTCAAAATCTGTGCGTTGGAGTTGCTATTTCCTGACCATACAGGTGTGTTGTGAAGATAAATTCCTTCACATTACGATGTCTGTGATGTGAGGGGGGGGGCGGAAATCCCTGCTCAGTGTAGCAATAGGTTCAGGAACCGTTAAGAATTCATGTTGATTAAAAAGAAATATTAGAGTGCTTGATCTTCTGCTGAGCAAAACAGGTGGGGAGAACAGCATGTAGTCATGTAATTAAAATCTACCATAATGCATATCCACCAGGTCACTAAGCAACATTAATTCTGGTATGGCTTGAATTGGGAGTCTACAAGTGAGAGCTTGGTTTGTGCTCTCTATCAGAAGGGATGCTTTTGATTCCTAAATCCAAAGCTGGTGGTTGTATAAAGGACAATGTTGCTGTACCTCCATTTTGCGACAGTCTTAAGAAGTGGGCTTTGTACAAAGAAAGTCACGGTAGCCTTAAGTATTTCATGTAATATTGTAAAATCAAGAGTGCTCTTCACTAGCATGCATTGGCTGGCCAAAGGGCTTGAGTGAGCTCTATCTGAGGCCTCCATTTCGTTGAAATCCTTGCAGTAAATATAAAGTATGAAGACAAGTTTGAGGTCAGAAACGGGGCATTAAAAGGAGCCTAGGGAAAGGAGGCATTAAATCCCATTAATACTGAGTGGGATCAAATTCTGCTATGCAGATCTGAGAGTCCCAGGCTCGTATCCCACAGGCATTCTGGTGTGTGTACTTTCACGCATGAGCTTCTCCTGAAGAAGGGGACAAGGCACATGCATGAGATTTGAGGGATTAGCAGCAAACTTCAGGCTTTCACTTTGAACTTCCTGGTGGTTTTCTTAACCTTCTAGCTATATTTGATCACATTCAACTTACTTATTTGTTCCTGGTGCAAAAAATATTCAACCCATCCCTGTCTCTATTTCTATGTTGGATGTTAATTGTTACAGGCAAATAGGGTCTTGACCTGGCAAATATGCACATGCATTTGCATGATTAACTCTTTTGAAGTGAAGTAGATTGAGCCTTTGATATTGTGACTTGACAGAATTCCTTGAAGTGCGTGCACTCAGGCTGACTTGCGGGTGGTGGGGGTTTAGCTCAACAGTATTCACAGAGTTCAGTTAGAGGCATGGAGGGGGAGAAGATAATTGCAAGATAAGACCTAAAGGAATTACAGGCAGCAGAAGAAAAATATTTGAATATTAATCAAATGGGACTTTGTATACTTAATAGGAATGATAAAATGTATTTTAGAGCAGCATTTATTTTTTAACCTGACATTTTGGGCCATAGGATCCATTGACTCTTTTCATAGGGTTGTGAGTGGTAACCAGGAAAAGCAAGATTTAATTTTATTACATGCTGATACGCCTTTCTCCTGGAAAATCGTCAGAGGATGTTAAATTGAAAGGGTCCAAAATTGTCATGGCAAAGCAGTGCTTCCAGACTGGAAAGGTGTGAGAACGCTCTGGGCGACGTGTGGGACTCGACCTGAGAAAATACACTCTGCAAGACCTGGCCGGTGCCGTGTAAGGCCCTTGCGTTGCCTCTGTGCTGCTGCATCCAGCTCTGGGGTCCCCAGTACAAGAAAGAATTAGACCTGTTGGAGCGGGTCTAGAGGAGGGCCATGAAAATGGTCAAAGGGCTGGAACACCTCTCCTGTGAAGAAAGGCTGAGAGAGTTGGGGTTGTTTAGCCTGGAGAAGAGAAGGCTCTGGGGAGACCTTACTGTGACCTTTCACTATAGAAAGGGGGCTTATAAGAAAGATGGAGAGAGACTTTTTACCAGGGCCTGTAGTGACAAGACAAGGGGTAATGGTTTTAAACTGGAAGAGGGGAGATTTAGATTGAATATAAGGAAGAATTTTTTTATAAGGATAGTGAGACAGTGGAACAGGTTGCCCAGAGAAGTTGTGGATGCCCCGTCATTGGAAGTGTTCTAAGTTAGGTTGGATGGAGCTTTGAGCCACCTGATCTAGTGAAAGGTGTCCCTGGCAGGGGGGGTTGGACTAGATGATCTTTAAATCTTTCCAACCCCTGTGATTCTGTGATTCTAAATGCATCAGTCTGAGATTGTTGGGTTCAGCCAGTATTACTGCTGCATTTCCAGCACCAAAGCCAAAGTAAAGATGGCAGCAGTGTTGAGTGAAGATGTAGAGGAGCCAGCGGCAGCCAGGGTTTGAGGCAGAGGAACAGCAGGCAAAGAGCCTCAGCTGGCAGGGGCTTGCAGGGGCCAGCACTGGGCTTAGGTAAGTGGGGAATAGTTTGGGCTGGAGGTTTAATATCTTGTCTGTGTGGTAGGTTATCCCAGCAGAGGGCATCCCCACACTGTTGGATATTAGCTTGCATGGTGTGCTGCAGGCTTTTGGGTAGCATATTAGTATGCTTTGGGTATAGTGTTATCACACTTTGTATGCTGTGTCGCGTGTTATGGTTGGTGGTGGTGTTCAAAGCCCATGCAGATTCACAAAGGCTCAATTAGCGATAGGATGCGAGGGTGTGCATTTACTTTAGGTTCAATGGTGTAATTAGACATAAATTGAGATTTATGAATAATTTACAGAGTTTGATAGAGGAGGAATGAAAATTAAGTGGCGAAAGAAGTATGTTTGTATGTCTCAGTTCAGTGTTACTTTTTGAGTATTTTAAAGCTGTTTTGGCATAGTCTTGTTGATTGGCTGCTGTCTTGTAATGCTTTCAGATATTAATTTGTTATTTATTATTGAAATTAATTAGATGTTAAACATTTTTCACAAATCAGACTTGATTTTTTTTTTTCTGGGTGGAGGGTAATATTTTTTATTCTTTTGAAAAAGTACCAGTGAATTCCTCACTGCCCTTACATTTGTGCTTACACAGTATTTTTGGGAGGGGCTCTGGTGTCATACCCTTTTCAGAGTGCTACTAGGACCTAGCAAACTAGAAATGTACAGCAATTCAGAAATTCCAGAATTGCTTTCCTCTCTCTCTTTGGCGTATCTTTCAAAGGGAGGATTGTCTTATTCTGGGAACATTTCTTTATTGCCATCACTTCAGTGCTTGGCTGCTGAATTGCATGTCAGACCCTGCACGCAGGGCACATTGTTGCTCACACTTACCTGTGTTGCTTACAGGAGGCAAGTCTAAAAGTCTTAGTTTTCATTCCCCTGTCGACTCAGGTTTGGTTTTGTGCTTCAGATCTTTCCTATAGAGCTGCTTGCCTTTTGTGACTGGACACTGAACCCATAGTGAACATTGTACAACTGAAATGCAAATATTTTTCAAATCAGCTAGCTTGGTTAATAATTACTGCAAAAGGCAGGGAAGCATGAAAGCTAAGGTGGTTATTGCTCTTTATGCCTGTGTCTAATTTAGTAAACTAGTCGAGGTGTGTCTGTTAATGTCAGGACCTGTTTTCTGGCCTGGAGGGCAGCTAGCACAGTCTGGCTGCATCCGTAGTATGAAACTTTTTACCATCTACAATGGGCGTCGGTACCCAAACTGGCTACTGAGTGGTCTCTGCACCAGACTAAATCTTGGGCTGAAAAATTATGTGGGGGAGCGCTAGTTGCCCAGAGTCAAAATTGTGCCAGGCATTGTCAGGTTCCAGTAGACACTATAAGGTTCCTAACAGACACTCCCAGGTTCCAGTGCCTGGGAATATGCCCTGATACTGTTTAGTGTGCTAGTATAAGTGCCGTTTATGGATTCTGGGTTAATCTATAACTTGTTTCCCTTCTACTTTTGTTGGGTTGACTTTCTTTTATCATTGTGTTGGTGGAAGAACTCTGCCTTCTTCCGTCCCAAGATGTGGTGCTTGAGTCTCTCCATCTTTTATGTTGCAGTATTAATTAGAATTCACTCCACCAGAGTTCACCAACATGTGTTACAGGAGGATAAGAACTGGAGCCTAGTATAGGATCTGTCCCATATGCACTCCACTAGCACTAGTTTTTGGGGTTGTTTTTTTTAATCTAACTCTCAATTCGTTGAAACACATTAATGGATTGGGGGGTGTGGAGGGCCATGATGAATACATTGTCTGTATAATACCACAGTCACAGAGCATGACAGTCACTCTCTGTTATGCCTGTAATGGCAGTTAGGGATAGTGTTTTGTTTGTGTGTGGGTTTTGTGTGTTGATTTTTTTAAGGTACTGAATTCAAAACTTAATGTGGCCACCCCATTTCTAACCAGTGTTCCCATGGTTATTAGTTTCCTTGTAATATCTTGGGCATTATTTCCCCTCAGACTTCCTGTCTTTGTCCGCACAAGGAATGACTCCATCCACTGTTGGCATCTTCTCCCTGTATAAGAACCTGTAGGCCATGGCCAAGTTGTTGGCTTTTATTTTCTCATGGATAAACTGACTAGTCAGGGGTCAGCTGAGGTCTTTGCCCTTCGGTTTCTGTATTAGGTGCTCTGCAGGGCCGCAAACATGCCTTTTTTTTAGGCCTTAACAGCCTAACAGGAAGGGTACTGAAGCCCACCAGGGCTAAGAAATGGGTCTTCTGGCTCAATGGTGAAAAGATTCGGGCTGCTTTCTCCATCAGATACCTTCCTGGCTAGGCTTCTCTTCCCTCCCGTCTCTCAGGGCTGGGCATTGTATAGCTCATTTTTAGTGGACAAGGACTTTTGCTGTCAGAGAAAAGTATCTGGAGCAGTGACCTTCCCAGTATTTCATTAGTTGGTGAGTCAGACAAACGGGCGCTGGGTATCTGGCAATGAACTTCAATTCCGTTAGGGAGTGGATTTTAATAACAGAACTAGAAGACCAGCAACAATGCTTGGGGATTCACTGTGTAGATAACAGGCTTTAATAGGCTGTACGTAAAGCTCCTTGGTAATACATGTTTTTCCACTTCAGTTTCTAGGGTTAATGTTTCATAGTGCTTAAACTGCTGCTTGCTGCTCATGTCTCACCTGTAAAGAAACTTCCCCAGGCAGCGTGTTTCCTTGCAGGTTTCCAAGAAGTACAGCGAGATAGAGGAGCTCTACCAGAGACTGGCGGCACGATATCCACAGGCTTCTCTTCCGCTCTTGCCTAGAAAAGTTCTCTTCGTGGGGGAATCTGACATCTGTGAACGAAGAGCTATGTTCAATGACATAATGAAATTCATCTCAAAAGATGAGGATCTTGCAACGAGTCCTGAGTTACTGGAATTTTTAGGTAACTAAAAGATGTGAGTGTCCCCTCTCCCATGAACGTGCTTGATAAAAGCATTAGTAAGTTCTTGGCTCAGGTAGTCAGAAACTAGAGAATGCCGGAACGAAGGCTGTCACTGAAAATATCCTCTTGTGCATCTACAGTGCTGTGTAGTCATGTTTGCTAGTATTTTCTCCTTTTCTCAGTGGACCCATGCCTCATTCAGAAGTGTTGACACCACAATGCTCACTTTGAAGGTATCTATCCCACTGTCTCTGATTTCCCCTAGGCGTATACGTAAGCTGTGATTCAGAACATGTAAGTTTAGAAGGCTAAATAATCATATATTGTCAGTGGAGAGATGGACCCTAAAGGGACAGTGCAGGGTCTCCCTTAGTGATCAACTTTTCCACATTTTATCTGTTTTTCATTCCTAATAAAATTGCTAGGCCTTGCTGAAGAGGGTCCTAAAGCAAATTATTGACCCTGAGAAAGATTTGAATAAAAGGCAGATTTTTTTATTAGTTACACCCATTCTCCGGCCTCTTTTTTTTTTTTTTTTTTTTTTTTAAATTTTCCTTAGCCTCATGTCCAGCTCTTGTTGCCTCTTCCAGTGATTCACATAATGCCTTTCTTATGTTCCTTGGGCATAGCAGGGAGTCATCAAATGAATGGAACAGATGGGCTCCCTGCTCTTAATTCAGCTGAGAGCTGCTGAGCAGGGAATACTCCAGCCTGGTGCTGTGCGGGATTCCCAGTGTAGCGTTAGTTTTAAGGAAGTGAAGTTGCAAGGTGCTAGCAAGTCACCATGTGTGAACAGCTGATTTTGCAAAAGTGTCAAGATTAGAAGTTCTGTGAGACTGGCAGCTTCCTAAAGTCAAGGGGGGCAAAATTGCATAATATTTGGCAAAAGTCTTTTGCTAATAAGGCTTTGAATTTTCCTTTTTTCCCCGGCAGTGTTCTCTTGAAAGTGGACCCCTTGCACAGAGAATTCAGAATTCATGTTGATTAACCTTTGCATGCTGATTAACCTAACCATGGTGCACATGTCTACAGCTGAATTAGTATGGACTGTCTTATACTGTGGACAGATTGTGTGCAAGTAATGTGACCTGTTCATCAAAATCTGCCTTAGAATAATATAAGTCTCACCCTGCCAAACCAGGTGGAATTCAGTACATACAC